CTCTCTCTCTCTCTCTCTCTCTCTCTCTCTCTCTCTCTCTCTCTCTCTCTCTCTCTCTCTCTCTCTCTCTACAACGGGCAGCAGCGGCGGGTGGCACGTCGAAATGGGCGCTTTGGAATTGCTCGGGCCTGTGTGAAACCCGCCACCCCAAAAACCTGCAGTGTCTTGTGTCCGGACCTCTAGGCCCTGCCCAGTTGGGTGAAACGACATTGAAAAATCACCCCATTATTTTTCAAGGGACGGCCAAGACGCGAAAAACGTCCTGAGCCGCCCCTTTTCTGTTTTCCGATTTTTGCCCTGCGGGCCTCCATCCAGACATCATGGACCGGACACAGGACCCGGACATCTTGTTCCGGACTGTCTGGAACCTGGTCCGGACGTCCGGTCGGTTACCGTGGGTATAACTGTTCATTGTCTGCAACAGAGGTAAAGCTGCATCGATCTTGGATCTGTTCGTCTGGGTGGAACAGGGGGTGTTGTGGTGGAAACCTAAAACAGACACACATGACATGCCATGTCCAAATAGCTGTGAACGTCAGCCTGCTTTCTTGCTGACATGTCAGCAACATGTGATGTGCCATCAATGCTTCCAGGAAGCTGTGATAGAAGGTATGTGTCTCTTTTGCGTGGACTATCATCCCGCATGCCATCATCCTTTACGTCCTCTCCTAGCATGCTCTGCATGCACCGTTGGGCACGTGCCAGACGCACAACAGACACAGCAGCCTGAGGTGGGTAATAGACTACCATATAAACTAGTGCTGTACTGAAAGGATATCTCCACCGGGACCAGCTGTTGCAAACCAAATTCTGCAGCCGCTAAGCACCCTTGCTTTGGATCAATTCCCGCCGTCGCCTGCCCCTAGAGAGGGAATAAATACTACGGAAAATTAGGAAACCTGCTCGATGCCTCTCTGTGATGACCGGCTGGCATGTGGTTCACATGCCTTGTGCCATGAGGATAATAAAGGGATAGCCCATGCAAGTTTTCGTTTTCATGCATATGATGACAGGCAGTGCTGCACTCATGTACGGCACCCTGACATGTCGTGTCCAGTTTGTAGACGGGCTGGAACGACGATGTCTTTACAATTGCGGTGGGCGTGCCCCTGTGTTCCTAGCGTGTAGGAGCCACGTAGTCTGTGACATCTGACTACGCCGAACCATTGGATGCAGCAACTGCGACTGCGTGGATGCGGTGCTTCCACAGTCAACACCCTACCTGGTCCTTTCCAGTCTGTATGGGTCGCCCTTCTGTTTTTTTTGTTTTTTTTTGTGCCCTTCTGGTCTGTAGGGGTGGCAACTTACCATATGCAACGGCTTCTCCTCTACTCAGAATCTTATGCAACCCAAACGCTGGCTGGCCTCATGTGCCATTCTAGAGTAGTCTGCTCCGGCGAAGAGTATTTGGAGTCCTTTGAAGTTCGTCACATCTCTGTCCTGTACTTTGCTCTCCACTTCCTCCCCTACCCTACCCTTTCTCCCTCAGCAGCCCCATACTCCCTACAGAACTCTGCTTCTTGCCCGTTTCCCTTTACCCTTCCCTTATGTGCTACTAGCAAATAACGTACGAATGACCATACAAAGTATGAGCATGTTCCCACAAAAAAAAAAAAAAAAAAACAGAAGCTGAAGATCTGAAGCGACATGAACAGAGTATACCTTCCCGTTTACTCTGCCTCCTTTCGTAACGTGCAAGTGGGTCGTTAAACCACCAGTAACCCCGAGGCAGCCTTCCCAAACCTTTTTTGTTTTTTCAAGCCACTGAACCTCTTCCGTTTCTGTGAATTGGGCTCCCGCACCGTGGAGATGTAGCAGCTGACCGGTCCTCCAATGCAGGTGACCGGTCACTCTATTCTTATTGTTTGCCTTTTTTAACCCTCGAGTATGTTTTTTGTTTTTTGTTTTCCTTTCGTCTCTTTTTCTTTTCTGCCATTTGTGTGCAATTCGCCAATTTCGCCCCTCGTCACAGTAATGCCACGGCTCTCCAGCTACAACCTGAGGGGCCCGCTCCACTACTCTCCACATGCACAGGACAAAAAAAATATGGCAATTTATC